TAGAAACAAGTGCCACGCTAGTAGTAACAAGAAGCTACTAGAAACAAGTGCCACGCTGGTAGTAACAGTTCGCTACTAGAAACAAATGCCCCGCTACTAGGAGCAGGTGCCTTACTACTAGTAACAAGGTTCGCTACTAGAAACAAGTGCCACGCTAGTAGTAACAAGTGCCTTACTAGTATATAGTTACAATGTTTGCTAGTAGGAACAAGTGCATCGCTTCTAGTAACAAGTGCCTTACTAGTAGTAACAAGGTTTGCTACTAGAAACAAGTGCCACGCTACTAGGAACAGGTGCCTTACTAGTAGTAACAAGGTTCGCTACTAGAAACAAGTGCCACGCTAGTGGTAACAAGTGCCTTACTAGTAGTTACAATGTTTGCTAGTAGGAACAAGTGCATCCCTTCTAGTAACAAGTGCCTTGCTAGTAGTAACAAGGCTCGCTACTAGAAACAAGTGCCACGCTACTAGGAACAGGTGCCTTACTAGTAGTAACAAGGTTCGCTAGTAGGAACAAGTGCCACGCTAGAAGTAACAAGTGCCTTACTAGTAGTAACAAGGCTCGCTACTAGAAACAAGTGCCACGCTACTAGGAACAGGTGCCTTACTAGTAGTAACAAGGTTCGCTACTAGAAACAAGTGCCACGCTACTAGGAACAGGTGCCTTACTAGTAGTAACAAGGTTCGCTACTAGAAACAAGTGCCACGCTACTAGTAACAGGTGCCTTACTAGTAGTAACAAGGTTCGCTACTAGAAACAAGTGCCACGCTAGTAGTAACAAGTGCCTTACTAGTAGTAACAAGGTTCGCTACTAGAAACAAGTGCCACGCTAGTAGCAACAAGTTCCTTACTAGTAGTAACAAGGTTCGCTACTAGAAACAAGTGCCACGCTAGTAGTAACAAGTGCCTTCCTAGTAGTAACAAGGTTCGCTACTAGAAACAAGTGCCACACTAGTAGTAACAAGTGCCTTACTAGTAGTAACAAGGTTCGCTACTAGAAACAAGTGCCACGCTAGTAATAACAAGTGCCTTACTAGTAGGAACAAGGTTCGCTACTAGAAACAAGTGCCACGCTAGTAGTAACAAGTGCCTTACTAGTAGTAACAAGGTTTGCTATTAGTAACAAGTGCCACGCTACTAGGAACAGGTGCCTTACTAGTAGTAACAAGGTTCGCTACCTGAAACAAGTGTCACGCTAGTAGTAACAAGTGCCTTACTAGTAGTAACAAGGTTCGCTACTAGAAACAAGT